ATTTTTGATATATTTTAACATATTATATATATGTATACATGAAAAATATATCTAAATGCATCTTATCATTTATCTTTGAGTATTAATATTAAAAAACAATAATTAAAATTTAATATTAAAATAATTTTTCTTAAGAATAATTACAAAAATAATTTCTTAAAATTTTTAAAGAAAATTTTAAATTCATTAAAAATAATTTTGATTTTTTTTAATCATAAAAAAATCAAAATATTGAATTTTAACATTTTTTCAAATATAAATTGGTATTTTTAAAGATATAAGCTCACCCTGACATTATACTCATTGAGAGCTTTTATTTGAGTACCCATATCAATTTTTCATATATTTTATATATTTATATATTTGACAAATACCATATATATAAAATATATAAAAATTGCCATGTGGGTACTTAAATGAAAGGTCTCGATGAATGTAACATCGGGATGAGCTTATATCTCTAAAAATGTCAATAATTAAGAAATTACATAGTATCTTGTCAAATATTGACATTTTTAAAGATATAAACTCACTCCGATGTTATACTCATCAAAACCTTTCATTTGAGTACCCACATCAATTTTTCATATATTTTATATATTTATATATATTATATATATGTATATATGAAAAACATATCAAAAATTGATGTGGGTACTCAAATGAAAGCTCTTGATGAGTGCAACGTCAAGATGAGCTTATATCTTCAAAAAAGTCAATTCTTAAGAAAGTACAGTGCAATTTAACAAAATTCATTATTTAATAACGCAAAATTTTACTAACTACAGCAGTCACGTAGTTGCTAATTTTTTTTATAAATTACATAAAATAATTTAATAAATTTATTACAAATTTTATACTTAGTAGTAACTAAATAAATTTACCCTTAAAATCCCCAGGTAAATTGTTTATAACACATTGCATATTATAAAGAAGAACTACCAATCCGGAGCATGATAATTAAATATACTTCCTGTGAAGATATATCTGCATTGGCTTTTCATGTTGCATGGCTTAAATTTATTTGTTCATTTATTTCAATTGTATAATTTTATTTTTTTTTAAATAGTTTTTTACTTAATAATTTTTATTAAAAAAAAAACACGTGATAAATTAGTTAAAAAAAAAAAGTTGTTGAGAAAGAAAGAAAGAAAGATGAAATTGGGGTTGATGCAGTACGAATCCGCAACAACATGGGGTAGCCAGTGGCCGGGGTGTTGGCGGTGGTGGTGGTGGGATGACCAGTAATCGGAGCCGCAGGCAATCATTCCAACAGAGGCATTTCCGAAGGAACTACGGTGTGTCGTCTTCGCAGGGTGACGGTCAAACTTTGCTACCCTCTACTAATAACTCAGCAGTCTCCAATTTGATACATCGACATACTAACAACAATAATAATAATAATAATAATAATAATAATAATACTAATAATAACAATAATAATAATAATACCAGTAATAATAATAATGTCGTCTCCTCATCCTCTGATACCCAACATCATCGCGTTCCTAATTCAAACTCGATACAGTCAACCACTACTAACAACCATCGCTCGCACGTCAGTCCACAAAACCAACAAGGTATGATTTTATTAAAAACAACTTAAAAAAAAAATAGAAATTATTATTAGAAAAAAAGCGCTAATTTTTATAAATTAAAAATTGTCATAAATAATAAGGTAAAGTACCCAGTACTTGACCAGAATTTCCAAATTTTTGTAATACAAATTCTATATATATGTTGATTACTAGTAAATTTGTTAAATTGTACTGTACTTTCTTAAATATTGACGTTTTTAAAGATATAAGCTCATCCTGATGTTATACTCATCAAGAGCTTTCATTTGAGTACCAACATGTATTTTTGATATATTTTTGATATATACATATATATAATATACATTTTAAAGATATAAGCTCATTATGATGTTACACTCATCAAGAGCTTTCATTTGAGTACCAACATGCATTTTTGAAATAGTTTTCATATATACATATACATGATATATATAAATATATGAAAAATTGATGTGGGTACTCAAATGAAAGGTCTTCACGAGTGTAACATCGAGATGCGCTTATATCTATAAAAATATCGATAGTTCACAAAATACAAGATCATTTCTTATTTATGTTAAATTACACTATACCTTCTTAAATATTGAAATTTTTAATGATATAAGCTCACCTTGATGTTGAACTCATTAAAAGCTTCCATTTGAGTACCCACATGCATTTTTGATATATTTTTCATATATACATATATATATTATATATAAATTTATGAAATATATGAAAAATTGATGTGGGTACTCAAATGAAAGGTCTTCACGAGTGTAATGTCTGGGTGAGCTTATATCTTTAAAAATGTCAATAATTAAGAAATGACCTTGTCTCTTGTCAACTATTGACATTTTTAAAGATATAAGTTCATCCCGACATTACACTCATTGAGACCTTTCATTTGAGTACCCACATCAATTTTTAATATATTTATATATTTTATATATATGTATATTTGAAAAATATATGAAAAATTGATGTGGGTACTCAAATGAAAGCTCTTGATGTTTGTAACATCGAGATGAGCTTATATCTTTATAAATACCAATAGTTAAGAAAATACAGTGTAATTTAACAAAAGTAATTATATAATTAAGAAAAATTTTATTCATAGTTCGTAATTCTCGGCAGTCACATATATAGTAATAATTAATCATATTTTCTCCTAGATCATGAAAATCCCTTTAAAATAAGTACTTACAACCGCGAATTAGCAAAAAATATTGAAAAATAATTTTTTTTCCAAATAATTACATCTTTATATATTAAAAGTAGGGTCAAATACGTTTTACTTTGAAACCTATTTAACTACTGGGTACTTTACCTTAAATTAATTAACCGTAAAAAATTTTGTGATAAATCAGAGATAGGAAATTAAAATGTAAATTTAGGATTAAATAATTATAAATATGTACATGTGCATTCGTAAGTAGTGAATTATATTTTTTTTTGTATATTTCTTCCGTAATAACTAAATTAATTATTATATATATTTATAAATAATGAATGTTTTTATATTACATATTTAAATCTGGAATGAAGCATTGAGCGTGTGTAAATTAAATGTTATTTATATTTGTCATATATATATTTTTTTAATTATCTTCTATTATATGATTTTATGTCAGCGATAAACCGTGTGATAGATTAAGGACAATATAATGGGCATGCTTGCAATTTAAATATTTTATTTACTGACTTTAAGTTGGCTAGACTGCAAGAACAATGGGGTTAATACGGTTTATTTTTTGCAGATGGAGCAGAAAACACAGGCACGGGATTCCCGGCGGCGCTTCCAGGGACGTGATCGATTATCGGACGGGTTATATTAAATCCCATCTTAGATCACCTTCCGGAAGAGTGAGGTGACTGTTTTCGCTCGAGCGATATTATTCTAAGCAAAAACTTATCGATAAATCAAGGGCGTGTAAAAAAATTTAAAAACTTTTTGTGGATTTTTCCAGAGGTTAGATTTAATTTTATATTACCGGATTTATAGGGAAATAGGTAATCAAAAATTTTTAAACCGATGTGTTCAGACGAGCATGTCAGCTAATATAAAGGAAGATCCTCGGAATTTATCATTATAGTTAATTAACTATTGGAATAAATTTAATAAGTGAGTACCCTATCATGTTGAATCCTTTTAAATCATATTTTTAGAATTAAATAGTATTCAACAGAATTAAAAAATTTGAATCATGTTGAATCCTTTTAAATCATATTTTTAGAATTAAATAGTATTCAACAGAATTAAAAAATTTGAATCATGTTGAATCCTTTTAAATCATATTTTTAGAATTAAATAGTATTCAACAGAATTAAAAAATTTGAATCATGTTGAATCCTTTTAAATCATATTTTTAGAATTAAATAGTATTCAACAGAATTAAAAAATTTGAATCATGTTGAATCCTTTTAAATCATATTTTTAGAATTAAATAGTATTCAACAGAATTAAAAAATTTGAATCATGTTGAATCCTTTTAAATCATATTTTTAGAATTAAATAGTATTCAACAGAATTAAAAAATTTGAATCATGTTGAATCCTTTTAAATCATATTTTTAGAATTAAATAGTATTCAACAGAATTAAAAAATTTGAATCATGTTGAATCCTTTTAAATCATATTTTTAGAATTAAATAGTATTCAACAGAATTAAAAAATTTGAATCATGTTGAATCCTTTTAAATCATATTTTTAGAATTAAATAGTATTCAACAGAATTAAAAAATTTGAATCATGTTGAATCCTTTTAAATCATATTTTTAGAATTAAATAGTATTCAACAGAATTAAAAAATTTGAATCATGTTGAATCCTTTTAAATCATATTTTTAGAATTAAATAGTATTCAACAGAATTAAAAAATTTGAATCATGTTGAATCCTTTTAAATCATATTTTTAGAATTAAATAGTATTCAACAGAATTAAAAAATTTGAATCATGTTGAATCCTTTTAAATCATATTTTTAGAATTAAATAGTATTCAACAGAATTAAAAAATTTGAATCATGTTGAATCCTTTTAAATCATATTTTTAGAATTAAATAGTATTCAACAGAATTAAAAAATTTGAATCATGTTGAATCCTTTTAAATCATATTTTTAGAATTAAATAGTATTCAACAGAATTAAAAAATTTGAATCATGTTGAATCCTTTTAAATCATATTTTTAGAATTAAATAGTATTCAACAGAATTAAAAAATTTGAATCATGTTGAATCCTTTTAAATCATATTTTTAGAATTAAATAGTATTCAACAGAATTAAAAAATTTGAATCATGTTGAATCCTTTTAAATCATATTTTTAGAATTAAATAGTATTCAACAGAATTAAAAAATTTGAATCATGTTGAATCCTTTTAAATCATATTTTTAGAATTAAATAGTATTCAACAGAATTAAAAAATTTGAATCATGTTGAATCCTTTTAAATCATATTTTTAGAATTAAATAGTATTCAACAGAATTAAAAAATTTGAATCATGTTGAATCCTTTTAAATCATATTTTTAGAATTAAATAGTATTCAACAGAATTAAAAAATTTGAATCATGTTGAATCCTTTTAAATCATATTTTTAGAATTAAATAGTATTCAACAGAATTAAAAAATTTGAATCATGTTGAATCCTTTTAAATCATATTTTTAGAATTAAATAGTATTCAACAGAATTAAAAAATTTGAATCATGTTGAATCCTTTTAAATCATATTTTTAGAATTAAATAGTATTCAACAGAATTAAAAAATTTGAATCATGTTGAATCCTTTTAAATCATATTTTTAGAATTAAATAGTATTCAACAGAATTAAAAAATTTGAATCATGTTGAATCCTTTTAAATCATATTTTTAGAATTAAATAGTATTCAACAGAATTAAAAAATTTGAATCATGTTGAATCCTTTTAAATCATATTTTTAGAATTAAATAGTATTCAACAGAATTAAAAAATTTGAATCATGTTGAATCCTTTTAAATCATATTTTTAGAATTAAATAGTATTCAACAGAATTAAAAAATTTGAATCATGTTGAATCCTTTTAAATCATATTTTTAGAATTAAATAGTATTCAACAGAATTAAAAAATTTGAATCATGTTGAATCCTTTTAAATCATATTTTTAGAATTAAATAGTATTCAACAGAATTAAAAAATTTGAATCATGTTGAATCCTTTTAAATCATATTTTTAGAATTAAATAGTATTCAACAGAATTAAAAAATTTGAATCATGTTGAATCCTTTTAAATCATATTTTTAGAATTAAATAGTATTCAACAGAATTAAAAAATTTGAATCATGTTGAATCCTTTTAAATCATATTTTTAGAATTAAATAGTATTCAACAGAATTAAAAAATTTGAATCATGTTGAATCCTTTTAAATCATATTTTTAGAATTAAATAGTATTCAACAGAATTAAAAAATTTGAATCATGTTGAATCCTTTTAAATCATATTTTTAGAATTAAATAGTATTCAACAGAATTAAAAAATTTGAATCATGTTGAATCCTTTTAAATCATATTTTTAGAATTAAATAGTATTCAACAGAATTAAAAAATTTGAATCATGTTGAATCCTTTTAAATCATATTTTTAGAATTAAATAGTATTCAACAGAATTAAAAAATTTGAATCATGTTGAATCCTTTTAAATCATATTTTTAGAATTAAATAGTATTCAACAGAATTAAAAAATTTGAATCATGTTGAATCCTTTTAAATCATATTTTTAGAATTAAATAGTATTCAACAGAATTAAAAAATTTGAATCATGTTGAATCCTTTTAAATCATATTTTTAGAATTAAATAGTATTCAACAGAATTAAAAAATTTGAATCATGTTGAATCCTTTTAAATCATATTTTTAGAATTAAATAGTATTCAACAGAATTAAAAAATTTGAATCATGTTGAATCCTTTTAAATCATATTTTTAGAATTAAATAGTATTCAACAGAATTAAAAAATTTGAATCATGTTGAATCCTTTTAAATCATATTTTTAGAATTAAATAGTATTCAACAGAATTAAAAAATTTGAATCATGTTGAATCCTTTTAAATCATATTTTTAGAATTAAATAGTATTCAACAGAATTAAAAAATTTGAATCATGTTGAATCCTTTTAAATCATATTTTTAGAATTAAATAGTATTCAACAGAATTAAAAAATTTGAATCATGTTGAATCCTTTTAAATCATATTTTTAGAATTAAATAGTATTCAACAGAATTAAAAAATTTGAATCATGTTGAATCCTTTTAAATCATATTTTTAGAATTAAATAGTATTCAACAGAATTAAAAAATTTGAATCATGTTGAATCCTTTTAAATCATATTTTTAGAATTAAATAGTATTCAACAGAATTAAAAAATTTGAATCATGTTGAATCCTTTTAAATCATATTTTTAGAATTAAATAGTATTCAACAGAATTAAAAAATTTGAATCATGTTGAATCCTTTTAAATCATATTTTTAGAATTAAATAGTATTCAACAGAATTAAAAAATTTGAATCATGTTGAATCCTTTTAAATCATATTTTTAGAATTAAATAGTATTCAACAGAATTAAAAAATTTGAATCATGTTGAATCCTTTTAAATCATATTTTTAGAATTAAATAGTATTCAACAGAATTAAAAAATTTGAATCATGTTGAATCCTTTTAAATCATATTTTTAGAATTAAATAGTATTCAACAGAATTAAAAAATTTGAATCATGTTGAATCCTTTTAAATCATATTTTTAGAATTAAATAGTATTCAACAGAATTAAAAAATTTGAATCATGTTGAATCCTTTTAAATCATATTTTTAGAATTAAATAGTATTCAACAGAATTAAAAAATTTGAATCATGTTGAATCCTTTTAAATCATATTTTTAGAATTAAATAGTATTCAACAGAATTAAAAAATTTGAATCATGTTGAATCCTTTTAAATCATATTTTTAGAATTAAATAGTATTCAACAGAATTAAAAAATTTGAATCATGTTGAATCCTTTTAAATCATATTTTTAGAATTAAATAGTATTCAACAGAATTAAAAAATTTGAATCATGTTGAATCCTTTTAAATCATATTTTCAGGATTGGATAGCATTCGTGAGGATATAAATTTTTTTAATTCTATCAAATTCCTTTTTTTAATCAGGGATAATAAGTAATGGTATAATTGTAAGTTTTTTTTATTGGAAAAAGATATTGAGTGATAAATGCCAAAAAAGGTAAATAAGAAAATTTTTTGGTCAGGATTGATGTAAAAAATTTTTTTTTAAAACTAAAGCCAAAAGAGCGCAGAAAAAATAGATTTTTTATTACAAAATGTGGAGAAATAAAACTAGATCAAAATAATAATCAAGGTTTCAAAATTAATTAGAGAGAAGGTACCTATAATTAATTGAGAAGACTATTTAGAACTACTTATACTAATTTTAATTACAATTATACTAAATTTAATTTCAAAAACTCATTTATATCATAAAAATATGTCAGAGACAAAATTTTTTTTATTCTTTTAATTATATAGATTAGTTGATACTTTTTAATAGAAGTTAGTTTTTGTTTTCGCCGCTAGGTGGCTACGCCTTCTCGCTATCAGAAAAATTTTTCTAGGGAGTATATATAGAGAAAAAATTTTTTTTTATCATTAAAATGAATTCTATCACCAAAAAATCCTGAATATCAATCTTATGGAAATTTCAGTATATAAAAAATTAAAAAATAACAAATTCAAATCAAAATCTTTCTGATGATACTAAATTTAATTTAAAAAACTAATTTTGTTGTATAAATACACTAGACACAAAATTTTAATAATTCTCTTAAATATCTAGATTATTTGGTACTTTTTGTTAGAAGTTAGTTTTTGTTTTCGCCGCTAGGTGGCTACGCCTTCTCGCTATCAGAAACATCTTTCTAGAGGGTACATATATGGACCAAATTTTCTTCTATCATCAAAATGAATTTTATGTGCAAAAAATCGTTAATATTATTCTTATAAAAATTTCATTATATAAAAAATTGAAAAAGCACAAATTCAAGTCAAAATCTATATAAGTAAACCGAATTTAATTTAAAAAACTGATTTTATCATTTAAATACACCAGAGACAAAATTTTAATAATTCTCTTAAATATCTAGATTATTTGGTACGATTTGTTAAAAGTTAGTTTTTGTTTTCGCCGCTAGGCGGCTACGCCTTCTCGCTATCAGAAAAATCTTCTAGGGAGTATATATAAAGACGAAATTTTTTTTTTATCATTAAAATGAATTTTATCACCAAAAAAATCTTGAATATCAATCTTATGAAAATTTCATTAGATAAAAAATTAAGGATGCATAAATTCAATTTAAAATCTTTCTAATGATAGCAAATTTAATTTAAAAAACACATTTTGTTATATAAATACACTACACAAAATTTTAATGATTCTCTGAATTATCTAGATTATTTGGTACTTTTGTTAGTGTATGATTTTGCCGCTAGGTGGCTACGCCTTCTCGCTATCAGAAAAATATTTCTAGGGTATATATATCAAGACAAAACTTTTATCATATAAATATCTTGGAGAAAAAATTTTCCTTATTCTCTTATTTATAGATCTCTTAGATCCACCAAAAATTTATACGTCCTTTTGGCTTAAAAATTTTTTTTTAATTTTTAAAACTTAAAATATACTTTTAAAAATTGGCAAAAAAAATTTTGGCAATTATCACACAATATCTCAGTTTATTGAAATATTGTCACGGCATTTAAGCGCTAAATTGAATCGAGGATAGACCACAGGGTTTTTTTCTAGTCTAATGAAACTTATATTGATAATAATTATAATTGTAATAATTAAATTAAAAAAATTCTGTAAAATGTCAGTCAATTTTATCTGATATTTAATCTCTATATAATTAATTCAAAATACCCTCGCAAGTGTATTTGTTATTAATAAGTACATTACATAATTAATTAATATGGAGATTAACTATCATTGCATATGTATAAACTCTGTATATATTATTTGTCTTATATAATATATGAGTATAAATTTTATCGTCGAAGATAATATGAAGCTGTGATTCAAATATATACTTAATATAAATATATAAAATATATATTTATCCGAATAATAATTATTATTGTTGGATTTAAAAACTATTTATACATAAATTTAAAAAATATTTTTTGTTGTTAAATGTTCATAAAAATATTTATTTAAATTGAATGCTCAAAAAATTGGTTACGACTGACATTTTGTCGTTTTTAAATTTTATTTTAATTGCATTGTTTATTATAAAGTATGTGTAATAAAATCATTAATAATTAATAATTAATAATAAAATATGCGATAAAAAAAAATTATAAAATTTTTTTTTGCATTTAATGAATGTAAATATAATATTAATCATTAATAATATTAATTAATTATGAATTAATATTATTATAAATACAAGGAATGTTTCATTTTTTGCTTTTACGCATTGGATGAATAGGATGCACCCAAGTCATAGTCATGTCAGGATTTTTTTCATAATCGCTCAGCTCTTTTAAGCCTCCAGCTGCAATTTCCCACAATTCAGGGTGCTTTACTTTGAAGTCATTGTACCATTTGTTGACCTTCGGCCAGGGTTTGAGAGAGAAATTTATCGCTTCTAGTCCAATCGTTGCTGTTATCATTGCAAAGTCAGCGATTGTTAAAGTATCTGCAAAAATTAATTTTTTAGTAATTATTGCATTAATTATTATTATAATTCTATTATTTAAATTTTATTAATTAATTATTAATTATTATTGTTATATTATTCATTAAAATGACTTAATTTGAATTATTTAATTAATTGACTGATTTTTTAACTTACTTGCAGCGCAGTAGATAAAGTTTGTACGTGTGAAATATTTTTCAAAAACATCCAAACTCATTTTTAATTTTTTTAAGCCCATTTCTGTGCGCTCGTACTCAAAGAACATTGGACCAAACTTTAATAATAAAAATTTGATTATTATTACTTATAAGCGTTTTTATAAAGAATAATAATGATAATAATTTATATTATTAAGAAAATAAGAATAATTTTCATTTGAAGAACTTTCATTTGAGTACCCACATCAATTTTTCATATATATATATATATATATA